GTTGAGGAAAGTTCCCTCTATGCCTACTTTCTGCAGGGTTTTTATCATAAATGGTGTTGAATTTTGTCGAAAGCTTTCTCTGCATCTATTGAGATGATCATATGGTTTTGCTCCTTCAATTTGTTAATATGGTTTATCACATTGATTGTTTTGCATATATTGAAGAATCCTTGCATTCCTGGAATAAACCCCACTTGATCATGGTGTATGATCCTTTTAATGTGCTGTTGGATTCTGTTTGCTAGTATTTTGTTGAGGATTTTTGCATCTATGTTCATCAGTGATATTGGCCTGTAGTTTTCTTTCTTTGTGACATCCTTGTCTGGTTTTGGTATCAAGGTGCTGGTGTCCTCGTAGAATGAGTTTGGGAGTGTGCCTCCCTCTGCTATATTTTGGAAGAGTTTGAGAAGGATAGGTGTTAGCTCTTCTCTAAATGTTTGATAGAATTCGCCTGTGAAGCCATCTGGTCCTGGGCTTTTGTTTGTTGGAAGATTTTTAATCACAGTTTCAATTTCAGTGCTTGTGATTGGTCTGTTCATATTTTCTATTTCTTCCTGATTCAGTCTTGGCAGGTTGCTCATTTCTAAGAATTTGTCCATTTCTTCCAGGTTGTCCATTTTATTGGCATAGAGTTGCTTGTAGTAATCTTTCATGGTCTTTTGTATTTCTGCAGTGTCTGTTGTTACTTCTTTTTCATTTCTCATTCTATTGATTTGAGTCTTCTCCATTTTTTTCTTGATGAATCAGGCTAATGGTTTATCAATTTTGTTTATCTTCTCAAAGAACCAGCTTTTAGTTTTATTGATCTTTTCTATCGTTTCCTTCATTTCTTTTTCATTTATTTCTGATCTGATTTTTATGATTTCTTTCCTTCTGCTAACTTTGGCGTTTTTTGTTCTTCTTTCACTAATTGCTTTAGGTGCAAGGTGAGGTTGTTTATTCGAGATGTTTCCTGTTTCTTAAGGTAGGATTGTATTGCTATAAACTTCCCTGTTAGAACTGTTTTGCTGCATCCCATAGATTTTGTGTCATCATGTCTCCATTGTCATTTGTTTCTAGGTATTTTTTAATTTCCTCTTTGATTTTTTCAGTGATCACTTCGTTATTGAGTAGTGTATTGTTTAGCCTCCATGTGTTTGTATTTTTTACAGATCTTTTCCTGTAATTGATATCTAGTCTCATAGCGTTGTGATCGGAAAAGATACTTGAAACAATTTCAATTTTCTTAAATTTACCAAGGCTTGACTTGTGACCCAAGATATGATCTATCCTGGAGAATATTCCATGATCACTTGAGAAAAATGTGTATTCTGTTATTTTTGGATGGAATGTCCTATAAATATCAGTTAAGTCCATCTTGTTTAATGTATCATTTAAAGCTTGTGTTTCCTTATTTATTTTCATTTTGGATGATCTGTCCATTGTCACCCCATTGGTGAAAGTGGGGTGTTAAAGTCCCCTACTATGAATGTGTTACTGTTGATTTCCCCTTTTATGGCTGTTAGTATTTGCCTTATGTATTGAGGTGCTCCTATGTTGGGTGCATAAATATTTACAATTGTTATATCTTCTTGGATTGATCCCTTGATCATTATGTAGTGTCCTTCTTTGTCTCTTCTAATAGTCTTTATTTTAAAGTCTATTTTGTCTGATATGAGAATTGCTACTCCAGCTTTCTTTTGGTTTCCATTTGCATGAAATATCTTTTTCCATCCCCTTACTTTCAGTCTGTATGTGTCTCTAGGTCTGAAGTGGGTCTCTTGTAGACAGCAAATATATGGGTCTTGTTTTTGTATCCATTCAGCCAATCTGTGTCTTTTGGTGGGAGCATTTAGTCCATTTACATTTAAGGTAATTATCAATATGTATGTTCCTATTCCCATTTTCTTAATTGTTTTGGGTTCGTTATTGTAGGTCTTTTCCTTCTCTTGTGCTTCTTGCCTAGATAGGTTCCTTTAGCAGTTGTTGTAAAGCTGGTTTGGTGGTGCTGAACTCTCTCAGCTTTTGCTTGTCTGTAAATGTTTTAATTTCTCCATCAAATCTGAATGAAATCCTTGCTGGATAGAGTAATCTTCGTTGCCAGTTTTTCTCCTTCATCACTTTAAATATGTCCTGCCAGTCCCTTCTGGCTTGCAGAGTTTCTGCTAAAGATCAGCTGTTAACCTTATGGGAATTCCCTTGTGTGTTATTTGTTGTTTTTCCCTTGCTGCTTTCAATATTTTTTCTTTGTATTTACTTTTTGATAGTTTGATTAATATGTGTCTTCACGTGTTTCTCCTTGGATTTATCCTGTATGGGACTCTCTGTGCTTCCTGGACTTGATTAACTATTTCCTTTCCCATATTATGGAGGTTTTCAACTATAATCTCTTCAAGTATTTTCTCAGTCCCTTTCTTTTTCTCTTCTTCTCCTGGGACCACTATAATTCGAATGTTGGTGTGTTTAATGTTGTCCCAGAGGTCTCTGAGACTGTCCTCAGTTCTTTTCATTCTTTTTTCTTTATTCTGCTCTGCAGTAGTTATTTCCACTACTTTATCTTCCAGGTCACTTATCCATTCTTCTGCCTCAGTTATTCTGCTATTGATCCCATCTAGAGTATTTTTCATTTCATTTATTGTGTTGTTCATCGTTGTTTGTTTCATCTTTAGTTCTTCTAGGTCCTTGTTAAATGTTTCTTGCATTTTGTCCATTCTATTTCCAAGATTTTGCATCATCTTTACTATCATTATTCTGAATTCTTTTTCAGGTAGACTGCCCATTTCCTCTTCATTTGTTAGGTCTGGTGGGTTTTTATCTTGCTCCTTCATCTGCTGTGTGTTTTTCTGTCTTCTCATTTTGCTTATTTTAGTGTGTTTGGGGTCTCCTTTTTGCAGGCTGCAGGCTCGTAGTTCCTATTGTTTTTGGTGTCTGTCCCCAGTGGCTAAGGTTGGTTCAGTGGGTTGTGTAGGCTTCCTGGTGGAGGGGCCTAGTGCCTGTGTTCTGGTGAATGAGGCTGGATCTTGTCTTTCTGGTTGGAGGTCCACGTCTGTTGGTGGGTTTTGGGGTGTCTGTGGACTTATTATGATTTTAGGCAGCCTCTCTGCTAATGGGTGGGGTTGTGTTACTGTCTTGCTAGTTGTTTGGCATAGGATGTCCAGCACTGTAGCTTGCTGGTCATTGAGTGAAGCTGGTTGCTGGTGTTGAGATGGAGATCTCTGGGAGATTTTCGCCGTTTGATATTATGTGGAGCTGGGAGGTCTCTTGTGGACCAGTGTCCTGAAGTTGGCTCTCCGACGTCAGAGGCACAGCACTGACTCCTGGCTGCAGCACCAAGAGCCTTTCATCCACATGGCTCAGAATAAAAGGGAGAAAAAGTAGAAAGAAAGAATTAGTAGAAGTAGAAAGAAAGAAAGAAAGGAGGGAGGGAGGGAGGGAGGGAGGGAGGAAGGAAGGAAGGAAGGAAGAAGGGAAGGAAGGAAAGAAAGAAGATAAAGTAAAATAAAATAAAGTAAGATAAAATATAATAAAGTTATTAAAATAAAAAAATTATTATTAAGAAAAAATTAAAAAAAAAACACAAAAAATAAAAACGGACGGATAGAACCGGAGGACAAATGGTGGAAGCAAAGCTATACAGAATAAATCTTGCTCTCAAAGTCCACGTCCTCAAGTTGGGATGATTCGTTGTCTATTCATGTATTCCACAGACATCAAGTTGATTGTGGAGCTTTAATCTGCTGCTTCTGAGGCTGCAGGGAGAGATTTCCCTTTCTCTTCTTTGTTCTCACAGCTCCCAGGGGCTCAGCTTTGGATTTGGCCCCGCCTTTGCGTGTAGGTCGGCGGAGGGCGTCTGTTCTTTGCTCAGGCAGGACGGGTTTAAAGGAGCCGCTGATTCGGGGGCTCCGGCTCACTCAGGCCGGAGGGAGGGAGGGGCACGGAGTGCGGGGCGGGCCTGCGGCGGCAGAGGCCGGCGTGACGTTGCACGAGCCTGAGGCGCACCGTGCGTTCTTCCGGGGGCGTTGTCCCTGGATCCCGAGACCCTGGCAGTGGCGGGCTGCCCAGGCTCCCAGGAAGCGGGGTATGGATAGTAACCTGTGCTCGCACACAGGCTTCTTGGTGGCAGCAGCAGCAGCCTTAGCGTCCATGCCCGTCTCTGGGGTTCACGCTTTTAGCCGCGGCTCACGGCCCGTCTCTGGAGCTCCTTTAAGCAGCGCTCTTAATCCCCTCTCCTCGCGCACCAGGAAACAAAGAGGGCAGAAAAAGTCTCTTGCCTCTTCGGCAGGTCCAGACTTTTCCCCGGACTCCCTCCCGGCCAGCCGTCGCGCACTAACCCCTGCAGGCTGTGTTCATGCCGCCAACCCCAGTCCTCTCCCGGCGCTCCGACCGAAGCCCGAGCCTCAGCTCCCAGCCCCGCCCGCCCCGGCGGGTGAGCAGACAAGCCTCTCGTGCTGGTGAGTGCCGGTCGGCCCTGATCCTCTGTGCGGGAATCTACCCGCTTTGCCCTCCGCACCCCTGTTGCTGTGCTTTCCTCCGTGGCTGCGAAGCTTCCCCCTTCGCCACCCGCAGTCTCCGCCCGAGAAGGGGCTTCCTAGTGTGTGAAAACCTTTCCTCCTTCACAGCTTCTTCCCACTGGTGCAGGTCCCGTCCCTATTCTTTTGTCTCTGTTTTTTCTTTTTTCTTTTGCCCTACCCAGGTACGTGGGGAGTTTCTTGCCTTTTGGGAGGTCTGAGGTCTTCTGCCAGCGTTCAGTAGGTGTTCTGTAGGAGTTGTTCCACGTGTAGATGTATTTCTGGTGTGTCTGTGGGGAGGAAGGTGATCTCCGCGTCTTACTCTTCCGCCGTCTTCCCGGAAGCCTCCCGACTGTAATTTCTAATGAGGCATTTTCTCCAAGTAGATCCCGCCATAATCATTGGAGTTTGGGGCTGACAAGATGTTAAGAGAATAAGCAGCACCTTGCTTTTATCCACATCTTTGATGAAGGTAAAATGTGTTCTCATCCCACAGGAAGTGTTCCTTTTCACATGAAATCCTCCAGGATGATGAGTTCTAATCCTGAGGAAGACCCTCTGGACACATTTCTCCAGTATATTGAGGATATGGGGATGAAGGCCTACGACGGATTGGTTATTCAGAATGCATCGGACATTGCGCGAGAAAATGATCGCTTGAGAAATGAAACAAACCTGGCCTACTTGAAGGAAAAGAATGAAAAACGCCGAAGACAAGAAGAAGCAATAAAACGGTAAGTATAAATGAAAGTGTTCTGAGTTTTGCACACCTCAGGGTATCTGTGAGTTCTGCAGAGGCTGTGATGCTGTCACCTGGTCAAGAAGGGGTTTGTCAAAGTTAGACTTGAGGAGACAAGGTAAAAGTGTCTTCTCAACTGTGATGAAAACAATGCAGACAGGACACTTGCCTTAGTTAACAAAAATTGTTTACTTTTGTGTCGTGAGTATGGAGAGGCAGATGGGGCGGGGAAAGAATTCAGTTTCCTCTAAATAAAAGTTCATACTGAACAATCTCTCGATAAAAGATTAAGGGAACACACACTTTAATATTTAATGAAAATCTCTATATTTAATGGTCTTTGTATCATCCTTACGAGAGAGTTCACCATCTTCCTAGATTATGAAAAGACTTGTCAGTAATTATAATTATGTGAGTTTCTGAAGTGGAATACTCAGTGTGTGCCCTCTGTGTAGGATTCTGTGGCTATTACATCTCTTGTCTGGTACTGAGTGCCCCAGGTTTGTTCAAATGAAATGACTTTTATGCTGCAAAACCTACCTGCTACAAGCAAATGAGCCCCGATTGCAGCCTCCAAATGGAAGCTAAGTTCCCTAGCGTGCTGAGACCAAAGTAAGGATACACATCTTTTGATTTTTCCAAAAAATGTTACAATATTTTCTGAGTGTATGTGTTGCGGGGTTACAGGTAGAGATATGTGTTTGATGGAGTCCTAGTTCTTCAATGGAGTCCATTTACTAAGTTCAAAGAGACAGAATTTAGGAAATGAATCCATCAATTGCCTGGATAACTGAATGGTAATAATAAGCTATTTTGATAGCCAGTTGGTGGATTTTTCATCTGATCTGGAATTAATCCTTTTGCTTACTCTCTGTGAACATTATGATATGAAGGAAAAGAACATATTCTTTTAAGGTAAACTATTGATTCTTATAAAGAAGCTAGGAAAGGATGCACTATTCCAATCATTTAATGGCAAACAACTCTGTACGAGAGGGTGGGAAGGAAGAGAGAGAGAAAGAGGGCGAGAGATTTGGAAATTTTGTACAAGATTAGTTGAAAGAGTGTCATCTTTTTTCTCTGGACTATTCAAATGGAAATCTATTCTATTACCAGGTATACAAAGATTTGTAAAATGGCACGCTTGATAAACGTATTCATAATTGCAGATGTTATTCTGAGATATGTTATTTTTTATTTCTACCTAATTTTAGTTGGTACCACAGGTTCCTTTCTAGGATGCACTAAGTGCCCTTTCTTAGAACAACTTTTTTTTTTTTCTGCTAAGTACCTCTGCTGAACTTTTTTTTTAAAAACCAAGATGTATTTTTTTATACATTTATTTATTTTATTTATTTATTTTTGGCTGCATTGGGTCTTCGGGCAAGCGGGCTACTCTTCGTTGCGGTGCCCACGGGCTTCTCATTGCTGTGGCTTCTCTTGTTGTGGAGCTCTGGCTCTAGAGCACAGGCTCAGTAGTTGTGGCATGTGGGCTTAGTTGCTCTGAGGCATTTGGGATCTTCCCAGACCAGGGGTTGAACCCGTGTCCTCTGCACTGGCAGGCAGATTCTTAACCACTGTACCACCAGGGAAGCCCTGAACTTCTATATGTATGTAAACATTTTAATTTACTTTTGTGAGTCTAAGGTTTCAGAAACTCAGAACAAAAAAGGTTATCCTACGTGATTTCTAAAATAACTTCATCTCTAAAATCTAAAGTTTCCCAATCTTGCCATTAAACATAATTCACTCTTTTCTCTAAGCATAGAGACAAAATTATTTGCTGAATAGTTCTATTAGATTGTACAGAGCACCCCAGGGTGCTTATCACTGTATTATTAGCTTCTGTGTTTCATCAACAACCTCATAAAGTTTCTATCTAAAGATCCATAGATATTAAGAAAGTAAAAATGACTCATTTTAAGTGGTCAAGTGTTCAAAGGGGCATTACCAACAATTCCAAGGAGTCAAAAGTCCAGGGGACATGGGCTGGAATTTAGGTAGGTGGAGACACAGCAAAACCCTGTCATTGCATGGTAAATGAGGTCCAGGAAATTCAGTTAAGTAAACTTCGTGTTAGTTCCTGCTACATTAACAAAGCAATATTTTCTAGAATTATATTACAAGCCATAAACATAAAGATAGTTCAGATCACACATTGAATTGAAAAAGTCCCAAACGATCTGGACAATTTTGCTTCCACATCACACTGTCAACACAATATAAAACTGTAGTCTAGCCCTGCTTAAGAACAGAGTAAGGGCAAGAGAAGTCACCCACCCTGTGTGTGTGTGTGTTGGGGGGGAGGTGTATGTTTAATCAATGTCGATGTCTTGTTTGAAACAGTTCTTCTGAGTATGAGTGTTCTTTCTTGTATCAAATAAGTAAAGATTCAAAGAGGGGAGAAAAAAAGGTACTTGTCAGTTTTATTTTTTAATAAATTTATTTATTTATTGGCTGTGTTGAGTCTTCGTTGCTGCATGCTGGCTTTCCCTAGTTGCAGAGAGTAGGGGCCACTCTTTGTTGTGGTGCGTGGGTTTCTCATTGTGGTGAGCACGGGCCCCAGGTGTGCGGGCCTCAGCAGTTGTGGCACACAGGCTCAGTAGTTGTGGCTCCGGGCTCTAGAGCACAGGCTCAGTAGTTACGGTGCACGGGCCTAGTTGCTCCGTGGCATGTGGGATGTGGGATCTTCCTGGACCAGGGCTCGAACCCATGTCCCTTGCATTGGCAGGCAGATTCTTAACCACTGTGCCACCAGGGAAATCCCTACTTGTCAGTTTTAAATTAGCAGTTTATCTTTCTATAATCAGATTAGGAGGCAAATGAAGAACCCACTGGTAGCAGGAAGAAACAAGAGCCTTCTAGGATCTGGCATTTGAGGAGATAGATGTTCAGTTACTGTGCACTTTCATTGTTTCCATGGCAGGACATAAGCCAGAGATGTGGGAGTAGGTATGCCTGAAGCCGGCTTACTCTCAAGGTTCCATAGCAGTGTTGCTTGTAAGGCTGTTGTTGCCACAGTAGTTGGTGTTCCCCACAGGAGAGTTATAAATGTGTGTACTTTATGTCGCGGTGACCTAGTGATGGTGGCATTTTAGGTGATGAGGCTATTCGGAATTTGTCAGTAGATGTGGGTAGAGTTGAAGAATAAACCAATTTCCCAGGCATGGGGACACCAACTAGAGGTCAACAGACTGCCAGGTCATAGTAAAGTGAGCTGATGTTCAAGTTGAATTCTGACCCCACCCATGAAATAAGGGGTCAGGCATAGAGGCTTTAATCCTGGAAGCAAGAAATGATGCTGAACCCGTGAGCTAGATAGGGCATCTCTCACCTGAGGTCAAGGTGATTAGAGACAATGAGCAAACCATGCACACAATATGTGACGTGGTTGATGATGTTCAAGTTACAATGTAAGTTTCATGAGAAGAATGACTATTGGTATATACAGTTCTTAGAACAGGATCTGAAGCCAACTTATTGTTCAATAAACAACTTGCTGTTAAGTATATTCATTCATTGGTGAAATATTTATTGAAACCTTACTAAGTGCCAGGAAATGTTCTAGACCTTTATGAGACAGCAATGAACAGAACAAAGTTCCTGGTTATAAAAGAATTATATTCTGAGAGGAGGGTGAAAGAGAGGCAACATGAAAGAAATAAGTATAAATAAATATATATGATAGGTGGTAATAAATGTTTACACTGTAAAATAAAGCAGGGTGAGGGCAATAAGAATAGAGGCCAGGGAAAACCTCTGAAATCCAACAACAGCTGAGCAGAGACATTAGGCATTGGGAGCCTGTTGCCAGAGACAGGAGCCACATGGCCGTCTGGGGAAGAGAATTCTCGACAGAAGAAACAGCAAGTTTGATGTGTTCCAAGAAGGGAAGGTGTCATGTGGTGACCAAGCAAAGATGGAAGGGGTCTAAGTTCGACTGGTAGTGGGGCCACCAGGTAATGTAGAGCATTATAAGTTCATGTTTTACTCTAAAAGAAAAAAAAAATTCATTGAAGATTTCTTGAGCAGAGGTATGGCATACCCTAAACTGCCCTTTTTAACAAGGATTACTCTGGTTTTTATGTGTTGAACAGATGGACAGGGCATAGTTGGATGCAGGGAATTCAGAGAGAAAACTTTTGCAGTAATTCAAGTGAGAGATGATGGTAGTTTGGACCAGGGTGGTACTAGTAAATGTGGCATAAAATGCTAAAATTTGGGGCACCAGTAAAAGTTTCTAATTGATGAGACATAGAAGTTGAATAAGAGAAAGGAATTGAAGATGGCTCTCAAGTTTGTCTCGTTGCTGTTGTGGTTCTGTTGTTGTTATATTATGTTTCGTTTTTCCTGAAACAACTAGAAGAATGCTGTATCCACTTAATGAAATGGTAAAGACTAAAACAGGAGTAAATTTAGTTTAAATGGTGGGGGAATGGGAGTTCAGCTTTCATAAGCCAGTGCTGGGAGCTCTTTTAGGTATTCAAGTGGAGAATTCTGGGTAGGCTGTTGGATCCAGGGCTCATGGTGGAGATCAAACCTGGAGGTTTTAATATGAGAGTCATAGATTTTTTACAGTCATGAGCCTGGTTAAGGATCCCTAGACCTAAAATTAGATAGAGAGGATAAAAGCACACAGGACTGTTCCTTGGGACACCTAATTGTTTACATGACGGGAACAGTAGAAGAATCCAGTAAGAACAGCTAGTGGGATAAGAGAAGAATCTCCAAGGCGGGTGTTGCCTCAGAGTGAAATGACAAAAGTGGTTAAAGAAGAGAGAGAGATTTTACTGGTAGATCAAATATATTGAATCCTGAGGATTGAATAATGCCTTTTACTACATTGGTGTTGTTGACAAGAACAGTTTTGGTGGAGGTCTGGGGACAAAACGCAGTGGAGTCATGTTCACAAGAGGATGCGAAAAGAGGAATTGAAACAAGGAAGAGAGGAATAGAGAACTATTTTAGGAACTTTCGAGGTTAAACACAATTCAC